CGGCAACCCCATCGAGCTTTCCTTCCCTGAGAGCGTCCGCTCTCCCTGCATCTCCAAAGGACGGGCCCTTGGTCTGTGGAAGCAGAGGCTTGCAGGACCTCGGCTGCCGCCATTCCTCTAATTCGGGGCTCACTCAGCTTCTTGAGTCTGCAGGCCGGGGGCGTGAGGAATCTGGGGTCTGTGGGGGCTGCCTCAGCTGCTCCCTCGTCCCCCTGTCCTGCTCCTCTCCGGGGACTCAGAGACACCAGGGAGGGCCTCTGGACAGGCCGCGGCAGCCGCCGGATCCCTGGGTCTGCCAGGCGGGTGCAGATCCCCTCCCCGGGCCCGGAACTCACGGACCCTCCCGTCTCCTCCTGTCCGCGGCCCGTCCTCCCATGAGCGCCCCCTCCTGTGCGGTGCTCTTCAGGTCTGGGGTTTGTTTTCCTCCTTTCCATCCCTCCTCTTTGCAGTGGCTTCTCTGTTTTGTCCTCCCGCTGTAGGAACAAGGCTTTCGTGTGCTCCCAGAAGCCTGCTCTCTGGGTCATCCCGCATCGGATCATCCCACGTGTCCTGGTTCTTGGCTCACGGGGTATTGTCCGTCGCATCCAGGACGTTTCGGCTGTGAAGTCAGGAGACTCTGGGTCCCACGTCCGACTGATCCGTGCTGGGGCTGGAGAACCAGCGTGCGCCGTGCCCACGAGGAATGTCCAGTCGCCACAGAGATGCCAAGAGATTTGGCCCGTGCGGTTTACATGGTGCTGTGGCCCCTATGGTCCTGATGTGGCTGCCTGGGTGGGGGCAGGGGGCACAGGTGTCTCAGTGGTAGAGAATGGGGACCCGTGGCTCAGCTTCCCGGGCCTAGCCTTCTTGGGGGGTCCCGGGACAGTGGGAGACACAGTGTGCTTCCTAGGGGGGTGCAGGACATCCTGCTGGTGTTCCCCCCTCCCCCCACCTCACTGTCTCAGATGCATGGGGACAAAGAAGCCTCATGGGTCCGCTGGGTTGTCCTGGCAGATGCTTTTTGCAGGCACCCTCCCATAAGCAAAGGGCTTTGGGGGCCCACCTCTTGGGGGCCCACCTCCCCCACCCATACTGTGACCCCGGCCCAGGCTTGTAAACAGCATGTAGTTTGGCTGTGTTTTGATTCTCGCTCTGCCAAATTCTGGCCTCTGGTTCCTCTGGAACCTTATGGCCATTCCTTCTTGGAGCTTTCTCTTGTTACCAACTCAACAGCCTTGCCCAACCCAAGTGTGTCCAGACACGGCCAATCCCCGTGTCATGAAATGTCCCTCCCTCTGTGTTCCTGGGACCCCAAATCCACCTTGGAAACTCCGATTCCACTTGGAGTCTGCTCTGTGAAACGTGACCGGAGACCCTGGGGAAGCTCGGCTCACGACCACACATATACCTTGAGGGGAAACAAGGAACCCGACGGAGGATACAACACGATGTCCCCAGTGGGCGGGAGCAGGTGTTCATCTCCAGTAGATCCAGGTTCCCCCGGTGGGCGGGACCCCTGATGCGCATCACTAACAGATCCATGGGTCCGGTGTGGGGGGGACCCAGGCACCCTCTCCAATAGATCCACAGCCCAAGGGGGCCAGGCTCAGGCACCCATCGTTCATCGCTCCTGGGTCCCCAGCAGATGGGACAGCAGTGTTCATCTTCAGTAGATCCTGGTCCCCACTGGATGGGGCCTGGGCAGTGACCACCAAAACATGCAGGGTCCCGACTGGGCAGGTGGAGGGCCCACCACTAATAGATCCAGGGCCCAAGAGGGTGGGCACAAGCAGCCATGTCCACTAGATCTGGGTCCCAGTGGGTGGTACTGGGCGCCCATCCCCAGCATGTCCATCAGTGGTAGCCGCTGAGTGATGAGCAGGGAGTTAATCTGTGCATAAGCTCCCGTCCAGGCTAGGACCTGGTGGTGGTCGGTTCTCCAAGAATCCTCTGGGTGGGCTCCAGGCCACGGTGACCCATCCACACTGTGCTTCTGGAAAGCCCACGCTAGTGGCTGTCATATCGGTGCCTTGCCCACTTTTACTGTGACACCGGTCAGGGGTCCAGCCCCGCCGCCCCCCTAGAAACATCCTTCTGGATGACACTCTTCCAAGTGTGTCTTCTCTGCCTTAGGCCCCTGGCTGGGGCAGGATCAGTCACCCCAGCCTGCAGGGGGGAAGGAGGGCACTGCCTGGGGAGCCCAGTGACTGTCCACCCACTGGGGGCCCCAGGACAGAGCGGCTCAGGGCTTTAGGACGCAGACAGCTAGAGGGCCATGGGTCCTGGGTCCCCATCACCTAACTCAGGAAGGAGGTCAGCCAGGGAAAGGGAGCCCAGACCCCGAATGCAAAAAGCCAGCATGATGAGCCCCATCTAACTGGGGAGCCCCCCGGAGGGGTGCTGGGCGACACCTGCATCCAATGCAGCAACAGATAAGCCCACCGAACGGCACACTCGGGGCCAGCCCCCATGCTGTAGACACCTGGAAGGTCCCCTCGGGGCTGAACATCAGAAGTCAGGTCCTCGGCACAACAGCACACGTCGCAATTAAATTCTTAGTATCTCTGAATGTGGGGTGCCTGGGGGGCTCAGTGGGTTAAGCCTCTGCCTTCGGCTCAGGTCATGATCTCAGGGTACTGGGATCGAGCCCCGCATCAGGCTCCCTGCTCAGCGGGGAGTTTGCTTCCTCCTCTCTCTCTGCCTGCCTCTCCGCCCACTTGTCATCTCGCTGTTAAATAAATAAATAAATAAATAAATAAATTCTTAAAAAAAAAAATCTCTGAATGTTATTTTTCAAAGGTCCCTGGGTGGAAATCTTAAAATAGATGCCCAAGGCAAAACATAGGTGAATTTATTTTTTTATAGTTTTTAAAAAATTTTTTTATTTGACAGAGATCACAAGTAGGCAGAGAGGCAGGCAGAGAGAAAGGGGGAAGCAGGTTCCCTCTGAGCAGAGAGCCCGATGCGGGGCTTGATCCCAGGACCCTGAGATCATGACCTGAGCCGAAGGCAGAGGCTTTAACCCACTGAGCCCCCCAGGTACCCCCATACGTGAATTTATAACCGAATCCAACGCTCCACAAAACCCCCACTGAAACAAGTGTACACACACGCGTGCACACACACACGCACACACAAGCTCACAGAGGCACACCCCCTCTGGGCACTTATACCCACACAACAAAGGCCGGTCTCCCCGAGGCTTTACCACGTTGATAATTTTATTATACTCTGAATAGAGACAGTATCTGAAAAGCAGAGAAAATGACTATACAAAGGGTTTATAGAACATTCATTTACATACTGGATATATTCTTTACAATATAAGAAAAGTAAAAATACCCACTAACAATAAGGCCGCTAAGGAGACGCGAGGTCTTTGACGCCGAGGTCACACACGGAGACCTTAAATTCGGTGTGGCTTACCCCGGCGCCAGGTTAACACTGGAGGACACCGCGACCGGTTAATGAGCGGGCTAACAGGACCCTGGCTGTGAGGCGGCGGGGACCGTGGACTCCCCGGGATGGGACCCTGTGCCCACCAGCGCCCGGAGGCCACGCGCCTTCCAGGGAGTGGCCCCAAGCCTGCGTGGGGGTGGGGGCGGGGCTCCCCAAGGTCAGAGCCCGAGTTCCCGGGGTTCCTCTTGCTCCGCGTGATGCACGTGTAACAGGGAAAGAAACCTGCCGCACCGGCTCATCAGGAACCGGGGAGCAGACGTCCTGACATCCTGGCTGTGGCCAGGAAAGCCACAGGCGGCCAGTCCGCCTCACCAGCGAGGGGCTGCGGCTTCTTGAGCGCTCGGGACAGGGACTGCACGGGAGGCCCCGGAGCCCGGGTCACCCACCCGCTGTGCTTCTGGACCCCTCACCGGCCTGCACTCTGTTTCTAAACGAGCCCTCTCTTCGTGGGAAGGGTGAGGGACCCGACCTGCGGTCTTTGGGTCAAACTGGGTAGAAGCCATCTCGGGATGAAGTGCGTCTTGGGGATGGCATCTCGGGTCCCCTTTGGCTGGATCTCTGCCATGACCGGAATCCCGAGATGCCAGCCGCCTCTGCTGAGGACCAGGCCCCCAGGGTCCCCAGGAGACGCCAACGTGTCCCACACAGCCACACCGACACCTCTCAGGGAACAGGTCTGTGAAGACCAGGCAAACATTTGGCACAAAAATGAGGCACTTGTGTCTGGGGCATGGAGAGGAGCCGGACGGCAGATCCGTCCCCCCGCTTTTGCCCGCATCCGACGCCCCGCAACGTGAGGCCTTCCGCTCTGCGCTTCCCCACATCTGTCTCGGACCCACTTAACACAGAACTCACGGCGCACGTTCGCGCTGCTGGAGCGATGCCTGCTGGCAACGCCCAGGGAGCTGAAGAGCTGGTCAGGCAGCTCCTGGGAGCCCAGAGCCACGGGGTGCCCGGGCCGTGTTGGGGGAGACCGAGCCCCCGGTCTGTCCTGGGGGACCCGTAGGAGCCGTGGCGTGACTGGCATCTGGATTCGGTAGCTCGGAAACACAGGGGAGCAGCTCTCGGCCAGAGACAGCCTTGGAGGACTGGGATCCCTTTTCCTCCTCTGCTCCGGGTGCCGGAAATGCAGGATCCCAGAGGGGGGCCACAGAGGCCGGGACAAGTGGCCAACGGCTCAGAGGGCCCAGAACTGCCTGGGAGAGCAGGGCTGAGTCTCCGCCCAAACGTGACCCGCCCTCCGGAACCTGCCTTCCCAGAAAGGACGTCACCCACCTGCCGGATGGGAACCACCCCCGCGAGCTTTGGGGAGGTCAAGGTTGCTGAGGCTGGCCTGGCCTGTCGGCGACGTGGCCCTGGATCATGGGCACAGGCTCGGCCTGGCAGCTTGCAGCACTGGGACCCCATCCTGCCCCGCAACTTACCATAAATAATTTGGCATAAGTAGAATATAAATTACACAAAAAGACACTTCACGTCCATGTTCCTTCTCCTCTCACGGACAACACCCTGTTTGGAGCTAGAGTGAGAGCGGGAGGCCGGAGCCACCACTGCCCGCCGGGCCGGGGCACTGGGGCAGCTCGGTGCCCTCCCCAGGGACCGGGTGGCCTTCCTGGTCCTCACAGCCAGCACGTCCCCCCCGGCTCCTGTCCCCTGACTTCTGGGAGGGCCTGACCTGCACGGACCTTCAACAAACATACATCCCCTTCTCGGTGAGCTAGTGTCTCTGTGGTGGGAGAGAGGCCTCCCTCGGGTGCTGGATGGACGGGGGCCCTGCGCATGGCTGGTGGCACCCCCGGTCACCCAGGGCTGCCGTCCAGGGGCCGGATGCGCTCCTTCCCACCGATGCCGGCGTGCAAGGGGCACGGGGACCCGCGTCCTGGCTCGGCCCTGCCGCGTGGATCCCACTTTCCTCCACCCGGGAAGCGCTTGGCTACGGAGATGTGCTGGCTAGCAGTGTTTCGGGGAAGGACAGCAGACGGGACGCCGTGTGTCCTCGTGTCTGTGAAGCCAGAGGAGAAGCCCCCGGCCCTCCTGGGGCTGGAACGTCAGGCTGGCCAGATGCCGGCAGCGGACGCTCCGGCCCCCCTCGGTCTCGGGCTGGGGGGGGTCAGATCTTCTTAGGGGAGCCGATCATGACCTTTGACACAAAGTTGACGATGGCACTGGCAGGCTGCTCGGGGTCATGCTCTGCGAATAAGTGGCACACGTTGTCTGTGGCACTGCCCTGCCTCCGGGCCACAAACCCGAAGACTCTGCAACAGAGGAGGTGGGAGGTCAGCGCGCCAGCGTCCCACAAGGTCCAAGAGTGGGTGCAAACCTCCGTCTACTCCCCCTGCACCCCCACAACCTCTACGTACCACTCACCGCCACTCAGCCGGGCACTGCCCACACCTGTCCACCCCTCAAGCCCCCAGGTACGGCGGGTGCACGGCCGGCCACCGCCCCGGCCACCGCCCCGGGCCACTCCTGGCCAGGATCCCGCAGACTCCGGTCAGAGCGGGTCCCAGAGCCCCCACACGGCTGGTGGCCTGACTCTCCCAGAGGCGGCCAGGTCCCTCCAGTACTGGGGTAGGGCAATCAGGTCACGGGGGGCTCAGGTGAGGGCCGCACGCTGGCCCTGCCTGGACGTCCCACACTCCTGCCCTCGGGCCTCTACACCACAGTTACGAACTACAGGTAAGAAAGGAAATGGTTTAAAAGAACCGCACGTCTAACTATTAGAGGAATCGGAGCCGTTCTCCAAAAGGGCCTCCGTGAGCCCTGACCCTCACACGGGGACTTCCGCTACTCCTGGGAAACTCTCTCTGCTCCTTCTTAGAAAAATGAGGGATTCATCTGTTCCAGTGGCGCGGCTTCCCCGCCACAGAGCGTGTGGCTCGAGGAGCCCCAATGGGGTAGTGCACGCCACACACGGGAACACCGCCAGCCCCGCGTGCCAGAGCCCAGGGCCTCCGAGCACTTTGTCAGATCCCGAGACAAACAGGACCGTGAACGGGGTGCCAGGGTGGGATCCGTGTGGTTCAAGCGATTCCTGGCAATCGGATTTAGGTTACACGGAGGAAGCCGGCCTAAAGGGTGCAGATGGCTCCGGAAGGTTCTGGAAGGTTCCAGGAGCGCCAATGCCAGCAGGACTGGCCTGCCGCGGGGCCAGGGCAGCAGAAACCATGCTCCCCCTGCATCTGAGAAACGCCGAGCGCCAGGTTGCTGTCGCTCACACAGGTCGTCCTTCCTCTACCCCGACTCGTGCACCTGCCGTCTGCGGCCGCCCCGAATGGCCCAAAAAGCCGTGCGACTGGCTCCACGCTGTGGTCCGGGGAACTGTGCATCTCGGGGAGGAGCGAGCGGGAAAGCGAACCCCGGGAGGCCCTTCCTACAGAAGGACACGCTTCCCTGTGTTTAAGCCATGAACGCCCTGGCACGATTCTCTCATTTCCCTGCGGGAAACCCTTGCCGGAACTCAGTAACGACATGCACTTTGCTCTGTGCCGGGGAGGGCGCCGGCGTCCGGGAACCCACCTGGAGCAGGGGCCATCCGTGATCCACCTGGCGGACAGAAAGGAGAGGAAGAGTTACGTTAACGTCTTTACTCACTTAACAGGCAAAAGGACGCACGCTCGCTGCTTGATACAAACAGAGATTATCTTACTTCCTGTCCTGCGGGTCCAACGCGCAGAAAATCACGCTGCTCACGGGGTAGTGCCTCCGGAAGAAGAGCCTGTAGGGACAGGGCGGGGGGACATGGTTTTGTTAGCGGGCGGGAGAGGGACGGTGACGCACGGTGCAGGCTCCCCAGAACAAGAGTCGGGCGGAGGGTGACTCGATTACTTGGAGAGAACACGCAGACGCCGGTCAGAAATGGGCAGACAGGACGCGGGGCTGAGTGGCGTTGGAAAAGCTGGTTATTGGCGAGAGGGACGCACAGAGCAGAGCAACACTGTGCCCCTGCCAGCTGCGTGGGGTTTGGGACCAAACCCCGGAGCCCTGGCACGGCCCCAGAGGAGAACCAGGGAGCCCAGCCTGCCTGTGCTTGCCCGAGAACCGCAGACTGTGTCCAGCCACAGACCACGTCCAGCGAACCTTTCTTGCTGGGCACAGGGTGTCCAGGCAGGGACTGGAGCCCATGTCAGACAGGGGGATGGGGTGGACGGCTCATTGTGAACATACAGACTAGCTGTGAGGCGGGCATGAAGGGTGGGTTGGGGCTGCCCTGGGGACAGCGCTGCCTGGTGGCCGGAGCCAATGGGCCGGCCTTGTGCCCCATGACACTCCTGCCATCCCTCTGCCTTTACGGCTGAGGACCCGGCTCTCTCAGTAACCACACCGGGCCGTTTCCGTAACACATGAATAACAAGTTCATCGGAAATGCCTTTGACCCTGAGGCCAGGGGCTCTGCTGGGAGGAGGGGCACACACGCCACGGTACGTGCGCCTGACTCTGCTCCCCCTTCGGACTGCGGCCCTACTATGTTCCTGGGACATCTGCTAGGTAGAAGCCGCTCAGGGGCAGCTCTGCTGAAAGCCACCGAAACATTGTTCCCTACATATTCCAGCGCCACGTAGAGAACATTTAGTATCGTAACGTACTACACAGTAGAGAGACGATTGAGAGTGACTGTCACTAACGTTAGTCTTAAGGTATCACTGATGGTTACGTTACGGTTCGTTATCTAGATACTGAAGTCACACCTAGCAGCGTCGAAATGGGACGGCCACCAGTCAGATGGAATGACACGGAACCAAAGACGGGGTGGTTCTACCACAGTCTCCCAGTGTTTCAACAGAATCGAGTTAAAAGGTTTTTCTGTTTAAAAATTATACTCGTGTGTGGGTGAGACACTCAAAGGTCCAAACCTTTCCCCTTTTTCTTTTTCATTACAATTTTACTGACTCCCAAGAAGAAAGGCCCCGGGCTGAATGTCCACGGTTTACGTGCGGCTCCTGGGAGGTCCCGAAGGACGGGGCGTGCCGATGAGGGACGCGTCCAGAGCCTCATCCCAGGGATGCGCAGGCTGGCGGGACGTCCGACCGGGTGCCCAGAAGCCCCACCCGCAGCCCGGGCCCAGGCACACTCACTTCCTCTGGTTGTCCGTCAGGGTGATGCCCTGGGCCGACACCTTGAAGTGCACGACTGTGCCCAGGGGAGGCGGCTCCTGCATGAGGGTGAGGCTCAGGGCCTTCTGGATGGCCTGGTGGCCGGTGAGCGACTCCATCTCCACGGAGTTCAGGTACCACACGTTGCAGGCTGGAAGACACCCAGGGAAGCAGGTGTTCACCGGAGGCAAAGCCCTCGGTTCCCGATTCCACAGGTGTGGATGGGGCAGGACGCGGGACACACGTGCCCGGAGGCCCCAACCCAGGAGCCTCCCGCTGTCCCTGCCGCTGCGTCCCCACTGGGGCCGGAGACCCCCTCCCCGCCTTCGTGCCAGTGTGGGTCCGCAGCACCACTGCCGGTCAGGGAACATGCAGGAGAGAAGCCTGAGGGCCAGCACCCTTCAGAAGCGTCCGCACATAGAGCTGGAAGCCACGGCATCCAGAGCAGCAGGGACGACGCGTGAGGCATGTGACTCGGAGCAAAGGAATATCGGAATACAGAGCTCTGCCCTTGATCCTGGGTTGCTGAGTGTGACAAGCTTGTCAGCCAGGGTCCCACTGAGGTCATGGGGAAAAACCACCAGAATCGAATTATCATCAGAGCCACTGCAGAGGCCCAAGTGGAAAGGCCCAGGAGAAGGGAAGGAGCAGATTCTAGAAAGCCTCCCGGGAAGGACGCAGCCCAGGGCTGGCGGATGGGGTCTTCAGCAAGACTGTCCACCCTGCACGGAGACGGCCATGCTCATTGCAGGGGGTGACCCCACTTCCTCTAGGGGCACAGCCCTGAACTCGCCATCAGCAACGAGTTTCCTCCGAGACCCCAGCTTTCCCCTACAAAGTTTCCTGAACCACTCCCTTGCCCTCACCAAGAGCAGCTTGAGACGGCACCCGGTACCAGCCAGAAATGCCCTGTGCCGTCAGGCAGCCATGAAAGGGAACTTCCTGTCCCAAACGCGACCATTTTCAGACCTCCGGGCTCCGCTAATGCTGTGCACTCTGAGGATAATCCCTGCCTCTTGGGCTGTGGAGAGCACTTTCCGGAGCCCGTCTCCACCTATCTGCACCTGTCCTGTGCAGTAGAGGGCACAGTGGCCTGGACACCCCGAGAAGAGGTCCAGCAGCCTCGCAGCCCCTGGGCGTCCACGCCGCCCCAGCTCTGTGCTGCTTCTGCCGCTGCCGCAGTGTCGACGGGGCGCGATCAGTGAGACATGCCGGACGTTCCGAGGGTGCACCGTGGAGACTACTGTGAGGCCTGTAGGCTGTGTGCGAACGCCCTTGGCCACAGGTGATGCCTGCAAATGACACCATGTGCCCGTCCTCACAGCAGACACACCTTCCGGAGGTCGCACCGGCACGCTCTCACCCAGAGGGATGCTCAGGGGGTGGGCAGGAGTCGCAGAAGCACCTGCTCCCTCTGGCTGGCAGGCACCAATCCAAGGGGAGCGGCAGGGCTGGGGGTGACCCACACTCCAGCTGCCACCTGGACTTGAGGGGTTTACACGGGTCGTCTCAGGACAGAGCGCGTGTTGGCACATTATGACCGTGACTGCCCAGCGCCCTGTGCCCGCCACGCTCCAATGAAATGCCGGGTCAACCCTGACTGCCCTTCCGGATAACGTGGCTGTCTTTATCAGGAGGCTTGGGGTCCCAGAGGTCCCAGTTCCAAGAAGACTCAGAAGGAGAAATCTTCCATAACCACGGCGGACGACCAACCCAGAGGTGGGGATACTGGAGGCACATGCTGACTTAGTGGGAAAACGGAATGGTTCAACAAACCCCCATGCAAAACCGAGCAGCCAGCAAATGGGGGTCATGCCGCGTGTACAGCGACGAGAAGATGGGAAAGGGGGGTGTGGCGGCCACAGCCGACGCTCCTTGTGGCTCATGGGAAAGACATGAAGAGAGGGAGTCCCAGGATTTCTTAGCACAAGGAGAACCTTTCTTTCCCTTCCTCCTTATATTGTATCCACACGAGAAGATGGACGCGGTCTGAGCCTCTGGAGGTGACCACCTCGCAACTTAGATCATCAAACCCTCTTGTTGTGTGCCGCAGGCCTGTGCAGCGATGGTACAGCAACTATTCCTCAAAGCCAGAAAGACGTGAGAGGCGGATGGGAAAGCAGGATAAAACTATGTCCCTGCTATCATCACGAGTATACGAGGAAAGTGCGCGTGTTCGAGCAGGAGCTGGATGGGTGCTTGGAAACTTCAAGACCATGTGATTTTCGGAGGGTGGATGGCCTGCCTTCGATTTCATGAGCGTTCCTGTGAGCATTTCCAAAAACAAGACGAGGAATTCGGATCTAACTGCAGTGAATCCCACAAAACGGGCACAGCCTGGGTCTACAGGACAGGCTCCCACCAGCCCTTGTGGAACCACACACGGCCTTTCGATAAGGAGTCGGGGCGTGGGGACTCTCACCCTTGATGGCAGAGCCATGGGGTCTTTCCTCAGAGCAGAGGAGGGAAGCTGTCCCTTGCCAAACCTCAGCCGGGGGTGGGTCTGCCAAGCACATGGGTCCCGGAGCCCTGCTCTCCAGTCGGCGGGGGGGCGGGGGGGGCACAGGGTGACCAGAGTTTGTCCACACAGCCTGGCCCCCAATGTCCAATTCTACCTGATGCGTGGCCCTGCTGGGGGCAGGGGTCGCCTTGTGGAGCAGGGCTGCCTCCTGTGAATGGGGCCGCACCTGTCATACCCACGGGAAACAAAGCCTCAGGGACACACGGCCTCCCTCAGCCCCACTGCGTCCGGGAACCCGGGTCCGAAGACAGCAACACAAGATTCAGAAACAAGGACGTAATGTGGAATGGTAGCCTCCCAAGGGTTGTTTCTAGTATCGAGAAGCAGGAATAAGCCAAATGAGCAGGACGGACCACTGTGCAGCCGCTGGAAGCGAGACCTGCGCGGTGTGTAGACGAAAGGGAGAACTTCTTACTCGGAGTGAGATGCGGAAAAACATCCAGGGCGTCTGGCCTCTGAGCAGTTCGCCTTTCCTCTCTTTTCCGAGTCTCTTCCTTTTTTTTTTTTTTTTTAAAATCAAGATTTTATTTATTTGTCAGAGAGAGAGCACGAGAAGAGGGGAGGCAAGGCGGAGGGAGAGGGGGAGGTAGGCTCCCTGCTGAGCCGGGAGCCCGATGTGGGTCTCGATCCCAGGACCCTGAAATCATGACCTGAGCCGAAGGCAGACGCTTAAGGACTGAGCCACCCGGGTGTGCCTTCCCTCTTCTTAAATTTAAAGAACTTCTACTGCTTTTATAAAGAAAATATCCTTCACAATGTGGTAAGTTAAGGACACAGCGTAACACTTCTGGGAAATGTGCAAGAGGCCTGGCCCTTCTTCTCGGGATGGACTGTATCCTGTGGCTTCAGCGCCACCAAAGAAGAGACAAAAACGTCAACAGTCAGAGATAGGAATGACCCAGAAAGCCCTTGGCCACCGGAGAGGAGGGGAAGCGGACGAGGGAGCGTGCACCCCCGCTGGGGCTTCCCATGTCTGCTCACGCTCCCGGGTGCTACTCCATCAGCTTGACGGGGAAGGGCTCCACACAGGACAATTCAAGCCCTGGGGTGAATGAGGACACTCACAAAATTTAATCTGGGGGCGGCGCCTGGGTGGCCCAGTGGGTTAAAGCCTCTGCCTTTGGCTCAGGTCATGATCTCAGGGTCCTGGGATCGAGCCCCGCATTGGGCTCTCTGCTCAGCGGGGCGCCTGCTTCCCCTCCTCTCTCTCTGACTGCCTCTGTGTCTACTTGTAACCTCTGTCTATCAAATAAATAAATAAAATCTTAAAAAAAAAATTTAATCTGGGGGAAAAAAAATCAGTTCCCTCCAGGTGATCGCCAATGGGACAGTCTGACTGCCTCCCTATGCTTTTTCCAACAACCGCAGGGCCTCTGCGAGCTCATGGCTGTTTTGTCCTCACTCGAGACACGGATCCGTGTCCTGATTCCACGCCCTGCCTTGTCCCCCATGAAGTGAGCTGCACGGACGTCTTAGAAACATGCAATTTTAAAAGGACACAGGCTCCGCGCCGTCGTGCACAAACACTCAGCTCAGAGGCTCATGTGTGGTCTCCAGGGCCCGCCTCGAGTCCTGGGATCTGCCATTCTTCAGAACAGCACGTGATCTAACACTGCTGGCGCCTGCCAGGTGCTCTTCCACAAGACTGTGAAGTTAGATCGTTGATAAGCCGCAGTAGAAGCTGTAATATCCAACCACAAGGGCTACAATGGTTCCTAAGGACGATTAGCGAATGCACTTATATGTTTATTAACTGGACATTTACTGGGAAAAACGGTAACCAAGAAGCTGAGGGAGAAACGCGAGAGGTGGCTTATCTAAGAGGTTCCTGGGCCAAGTGCAGAGCGCCGAGGCATGTGGGGGGGCGGTGAAACCCCAGGCTGAGCGCACACACCCCGGAGACATCAGGCACCCCACTGTGGCCCATGCCAGGTAAGAGTGAAGCCACAGGAAGGGCCATGTCTCCTCGGCCAGGAAGAGCATTTTCCGTGCAAACACAGCAGGGATAACAACAACCTGTTTGAGTGCCCCCGTCACAGTTCCCACGGCAGTTTTCAATGTCTGATTCATGTGGCGTCTGCAGCCATGCTGTTGGGAGAGATCATTATCATCGTTACGTTGAGGTCCACGTGGCTGAGTGGTCAAAACCCTGTGCAGTAGAGCCTGGACTTGAGCCCAGGACTGACACAGCCCACGCTCCTCATTTTGGACCTCCACGTTCTAACATGTTGCTGTTTGGCGCAAAGCACGTCACCCTTATTCTGGACACATAGAACGTATCCCTCAAGGACAGTCTGAAAAGAGTTCAATACACCATTACTTGTTGAGAGAGAGATGGATTTTAGCTGAGCAACAGGCGTAGTGATAGGGAGACCCGCAGAGAAAAACTGCACGAGAGAACCATGTGCATCGTACAGAGGCGGTAACAAGAAAAGAGCTGTAGATCGCACTGACCTCTGACACGGAGCCACGGCTGTGATGTCGGTACTGATACGCGGTGCAGAAAGGAGGTATTTCTTGTCCAGGCCTCCAACCAGATGCTGACATTCCCTTCCCAACCTTTCCAAGAGCAAACGTCCACCATGGGGAACTCGGCTCCCTCACAGCTGCAGACCCACAGGAGCCCTGTGGCCTTGGCCGTGTCCACAGCCCACCTACACGGGGGCCACGAGGCCTGCATCAAATATGGCAACAGCAAGCAAGGGACTGTCCTTACATCACGATGCAGAAAACAAGATTAATATAGACGTCGATCCCTTTCCTGCCCGCCAGAGAACAATCACAGTTTGGAACTAAACACACAATCCAATGTACATTAGCAGCCCCCAGTGAAATACCTCAGTATAAATTTAATAAAATTATGTACAAGAGATAGTCACAAGGAAAGCTGTAAAACTTTGATGAAAAACATAAAATAACTAAACAGACAGAGAGTCCATGTTCATGGATAAGAAGACTCAGTTTTGTCAAGATGGCAGTTCTGCCCAACTTGATCTATAGATGCAATTCGATTTCAATAAAAATCCCAGGAAGTTATTTTGTGCACATTGGCCAACGGATTCTAGAGTTTATATGGAAGCAAAAGACCAAGAAGAGCCAACACATGCTTGAAGGGGAAGCAGGACTGGAGGACTGACACTACCTGACTTGAAGATTTACTGGAAAGCCAGTAGTCACAACCGCGTTATTGGCAAAAGAACAGACAATAGATCAGTAGAAAACACTGGGAGCCCAGAAATAGACCCGCGTAAGTACAGTCAGCTGATCTTTGATAGAAGAGTAAAGATAATACAATGGAGTGGAGATCCCGTCTTCCACGGAGGACGCTAACACACACCTCACACCTTTCCCAAACACTGACTCACCGTGGGCCACAGGCCAGAATGTAAAATGTGAAAGTATAAAACTTCCAGAAGACAACACAGAAGAAAATCCAAATCATTGTGGGTTTGGTGACAAACTTTTTAGAGACAACCCCAAAGGCATGACCCACGAAAGAAAGAAAAGATAAACCGGATGTCATTAAAATTAAAAATTTCCACTCTGTGAAGACAACGTCAAAAGAATGAGAAGATGAGGCACAGACTGGGGGAAAATATTTGCAAAAGACACATCCGATAAAGGACTGCTCTCCAAAATATACAAACAACTTCTAAAATTCAACAAGAGGAAAAATACCCAATGAAAAAACAGACCAGATACCTTAACAGACATCTCACCAAAGAAGGCGTACAAGCAGCAAACAAGAGAAGATCCATGTCACGTGTCATCATGGAAATGCAAATTAAAACGTCGATGGGATACAAAAGCACACCTATTAGAAACAGCCAAACTCCAGAACCCTGATGACACCAAATGCTGGCAAAAATGTGGAGCCAAAGGAGCTCTTATTCACTGCTGGTGGGAATCCAAAATGGCACAGTGGCTTTGAAAAACAATGCTGGTTTCTTACAAAATTAAACATACCAGTGGCGCCTGGGGGGCTCAGCGGATTAAAGCCTCTGCCTTCAGCTCAGGTCATGATCCCAGGGTCCTGGGGATCAGTGGGGAGCCTGCTTCTCCCTCTCCCCCCTCTCCTTGCTTGTGTTCCCTCTTTAAAAACAAAAACAAACCCCCACACAACTAAACCGAACATACTCTGACTATACAATCCGGGACTCGTGCTCCTTTTTATTTACCCAGAGGAGCTGAAAACTCGCATCCACGCAGAAACCGGGATATGATGTTTCCCACAGCTTTATGCACAACTGCCAAAAGTTGGAAGCAAGCAAGATGTCCTTCAGTGGGGGGACGGGGGAATACACTGTGGTCCATGCAGACAGTGTAAGAGCATTCGGCACCAAAAAGCAATGAGCTTTGAAATGAGCCATGAAAGGATGTGAAGGAAACTTCTAGCACTAAGGGACAAAGCTAATCTGAAAACGCTACCAACTCTATGGCTCCAATGATGAGATGTTCTAGAAAGGGCAAAACTATGGAGGCAATAAAAGGGTCAGCGTTGCCAGGGTCTGGAGGGTGGGCAGGAGCACGCGGAGCACAGAGGACTTTTAGGACAACGAAAGTCCTCTGGATGGTACCCTGGTGGTGGGGACGCGTCATTACGTATGTGTCCAAACCCACAGAAGGAACAGCACTGAGGGTGAGCCCCAGTGGAGACTCGGTGACAGCGACGCGTAACAGGTTCACGAACAAAGGTACCCTGTGGCGGGGGACACCGTAACGCGGATCATTGGGCAGGGGGTCTGTGGGAAACCTCTACCCTCCTCTCAATGTTGCCGTGAACCCACAACTGCTCTAAAACTTCATAAAGTCTATTAGTTTAAAAAAAGCATGTGCCCAGGCAAACTCGCTGTACCGGGGTCTGTGTCACCCTGGGTTGTGGGCAAATGGGGTGATGCCGTCGGCTGCTCAGTTAGGCCCACGAACCCAGGACCTGGCTTTCTCCTGCAGTCTCTCGTCTTGTCCGCAGTGGGGGTATTTTCAGCCCGGGGAGGCCTCGCTCTGTCCGTCCACACTCGCTGTTGCGCCCGGCCTGGGGGGCCACCCAAAAGGGAGCTCCTTCACGCACCCAGCAGGAAGGGAACCTGCAGACCCAAGAAGACCCCCTTGCCACCCAGGAACTAGGACCGGCGGACAGGAAGCCAGCGACTAACCTGCTCCTTGCTTCAGCAGCTCTGCGGCCGAGTTGGCCGCCGTCTGGGGAGAGCTGTCGGCGATCTCCTCCAACGGATCTGTGGGAAGGAGAAAGAAAACGCGGGCATGAGTCCGGCTCCCCGAGGAAGAACCTTTACAACAGGGTGGGACTCGGGGGCCTGGGTTCCCAGGCAGTGACAACCCCCGGCGTTCTGAGCAGGTGGACGCGGCAACATGGTCCAGCAACACGTCTCTCTCCGCTCTCACGAACCACTGTGGAGGGCAAATCGCACTTACCTACGCCGTAAACCAGTCACCACGAATCTACTACAATCACGTGACATCAAGGCTGCCCAGGAAGGTGGGAAGTACGGCCAAATGACACTGTAGTCATGTGAGGTGACGGCGTCACCAGGGCCTGCCTCTGCCAACTGAGCTGGACCACACGATGCTCTTTGGGGTTGACCCACAGGGCACGCGACAGAGGACGACTCCGGTCCAGCTTCTGTGGGCGCGTCCTCATGGACCCAACACTGCCATTCCCCACAACACGCGGACAGCCCGGCCACGCAGAGGACCCCCCGCATACCTCGGTCTGGAATGAGCAGCTTGCAGGGCAAAGCCAAGGGCGTGATGGAATGCTGACACACCAAAGCCGTCAGGCTCCCTGGAACGGGTGAACAGCAGGGGGGCGTTAGCGGGGCCCCACACACCGCCCGCTCCGCCCATGTGCCCGCTGCGGGAAGTCCCTGTGGGGGGCGAGCGCTTCTGCTTTTAGCAACTAACACTCCGCTATTGCGGGACTTGGTGCAAAGCTTCAGTGATGTGACCAGTCCCGCAAGACAGCTCGAAGCTACGTAAAGGAACTGCAGGTGAGTGTTGGCCAAGACATGCAGGTGCCGACTTCTACAGAGGACATCGGCCGTCAATGGAGTCTGGGACTGCAGCCCAGGTGCCTCCGTGGTCCCTGCCATGTGCTCCTGGAGGCTGGGACTGTGTGTCCGGGTGTATCCCGGCAAGCCTGCGAGGCCGGCAAGGGCTCTTTTCACGGAGAGGAACGGCCCGTGCTCCGGCTCTAACCCAGACCCCACTTGCGGGCCTGCGTGTGAGGCCGCCACCTGCCTGCCATCAATTTGGGTCTGAGAAAGCCTTCGGAACAACTCCCTACCCAGTTTATCGTAGAGACGGTAACTCGGGGGAGGGCACGGGGAGCCCGGAGCGTGGGAGGGGACGGCCCTGCCTCTCGGGGAAGCAGTGGGGGTGCACACCATTTTGGCATGGACCAGAATGCTAACTGGGACCTTATAGCCACTTACCGAAATAGGGTTCGTTGGGGCACCCTTTCAACCGCACTCCCTTCGGGGTACACTCGATCAGAAAGTGCCGAACGAGTTCATTGGCCAGATCCCCCGCTGCGGTGAGAGATTGAAAAGAAAGAAAAAAGAGAATTTAAAAAACAAGAGCACGGGAGGATGGGAGAGAGGGACAGAGCACCAGCTAAAGGGAGGGGCCCCCGGAGCCGGGCCGCTGGCACCGGTGGGCTGCCAAGCAGCACCTGGGGATGAGAGCAGAGCCCCCCCACGGTGACATGTCCAGAGGTGCAGGGGTCCCGGGGACGGACCCTCACACATTCTGCAAGCATTCCCAGTGCAGGGATGAGTCCGCAGCTGCAAACGGGAACATGCCCTCTAGATCCTTCCCCTCGTAACAGGAGAAACTAGAAGGATCTGGACGCAAGGTGATGCCCGAGAACAAGCCACTGACGGGAGCTGGAAGGGACCAGCCAGGAGCCCCATGGCAGACCCCCAGGAAGGAAGCCCTCCGTCAGTGGGACCAGACAGAACATCGCCACTGCCCCACACCTGTCTGAGCATCTGAAGATGGGGCGCGTCCAGAAAACCACCAAACTGAGCTGGAAACCACCCGACAGCGGCACCAGCTTGCGGGGAGTCTGGTCGCCCGCCTGGCCCATGGGCGGCTCCCATACAGGCTGACAGACAACAGCAGCGGGCACATCAGGGGCGGTGGGGAGGGCTGGCAGGAAGGGCGACAGTCAGACTCCATGGCAGGTTGTGGCAAACACAGGAGCGGAAAGGAGCAGCGTGCCACCACGGCTGTGGGAGGAGAAGGATCCGCGTCTTCCACACTGAAGGGGACACAGGCTCCAGGGACAGGTGTCTCAGTGGGACAGTCAGCCGCTGGCTGCCAGGAGAACAGATTTGTCCTGGACGTCTGTCACCGCCTGGTCTCTGGGTACCAGAGGTGGGTGCTGACTTGCCGGGCTCTTCCCTCTCCAACTCCCCCTGCACCGTGACAGCCAATTGCCAAATCCATGGCTGGGCGAGGACAGGCAGCCAGTGACGATTTCAACCAGAGGACACCGGTGATGTTTTGTGACCTTCACCTTCGGGCTGAGTCAAGGTTGGCCTGAGAGGTCTGTGCCCAGCGGGAGGCAAGAACACGCACAGGGCACTGTCCGCGTCTCCGAAGCCACAGCATGCGCAGGAAGGACGCCGGCTCACAGTCTCCATGGAGCAAGAGCCCTACACGCTCCGCAGCGCCCGTCCCCGCTCTCCCCGCGGACCCCGTCCACAGACACCAAGTGCTCCCCTCTGGAGACTCTCCTGCTCGAGTCCTCACTCAGGACCGCTGGGGCTTCTCCCGCTGGGCTCCTCTCCAGCCTCAGCTGTCCTACTCGATGTGCACGAAGCCTCCTCCTCCATCGCTTGCAGACAGCACCGTCTGGATGTGGGTCTGAGTCCCTGCACCCCCGCCCCTTCCGCTGCCCCCACGGCAGACACCTCGGTTCCCTGAGAGCCCCTCGGCCAACGCCTCAGTCACCGAACCTCATGTCCTTCCAGGTGCGGCTCCGAGGTCACTTGCTCCTGGACACTGTGAGCACAGTCTCCATCCAGGCTTCCCGTCCACTTCTCCGGTCCTGGACGCGGCGTGAGTGAAGCAGGCCGTGTCCTTTTGCTCCTTAAACGTGTGAGCTCCTGCTCTGCTTATCCGGACGCCCCTGTGCCCGGTGATGAGCCCGGCGCCCAGGCAAGGAGCCTGCCTCCTGGCACTTCCTGACGTGGCGTTTTTTATGAACTACTGGTGGCTACGCTGCCTCAGGGGAGTCCCCGGGAGCCATTCTTCCAACGGCATCTGCTCACTTCGCATCCCTGTGTCACAGGTCGGTATTTCCTGCAGTATTTCCAGCTTTTTCGTTATTATTACACTTGTTACTGTGACCTGGGATTAATTAGACAGGCGGGACGCTCAGACGGCTTTCCCACCAAAGTGTTTTTTCATTAAGGCGTGTGTACTGCTTTTTGGAGAGAGCAGGCCGTTGCACACTTCGTGGACCACAGCACAGAGTAAACGTGACTTTCATGCCCACCGAGAAGCCTGGAAGCTCGTCTGACGCGCACCAGAGCTATACGCATTATCGTAATACGCACTACGGGGATACGCGTACTGCGAATCACCTCATTCCGACACACGCACCTGCGGTGTCTCCGAGGCGGGCCTGCGATCCCTGGAAAGCCGTCAGAGTGACAGTTACCACAGTCTTACAAGTAGAAACAATGAATCTTAGAAGGCAGCAGAAGAACCTCACGAAAGAATACATATTAGTTCTCTGATGCAGAGTTAAAAAGGGGCCAAACCATGATGTTCAGGGATTGCTATTTCGCTGGTTAAGAGGAAAATGCTGTAACTCTCCCTTCTGCTTAGCAGGTGTCCTGTCCGCAGCGTCAGGATGGGCGACCTGGACAGTGTGTGTCTGTCGAGGCACAGAGAAAGGGGCAGGTGTAGCTGGGGATGGAGCTCGTCACCAGGGGAAGGTGGGAAAGACCCTGGGACCCCGTGATTCCGTGCCAGAGCCTCTGTCAGCACGAACTGACCCAATGCTCTAGAGTGAGTCAGTCCCCCTCGGACACCCCAACACACCTAGCACTCACACGTTCAGGTTCCCAGAGACCACAGCGCGCAGGGATTCTTGCAGGAATGGTAAGCAGGAAAAGGACAGACAGTAGGACATCGGAAGGACACGTGGCCAGCCCCAAGGGCCTCACGGAGCCCAATCTATGGTCTCTGGGATACGCGCAAGGTCACAGGCTGATGGAGCGTGACGCACAGGAGGGGTGCAGGGGCCTCCCCCGAGGCTGTCTCCTGGCTGTGGGCACACGTGTGTTTGCTTCATGAGGACGTTCACCGCGCACACAGCCCTTGCGACCTTCTCTGCACATGGTCATGTCCATGACGGAAAGTACCCGGGAGAGTGAGCAGAGATCTGAACACAGCCGTACGCGGTTCATGGGGTGGAGGGCCATGGGGACACCCCTGGGGCTCATGATCCAGCGTCACTCTTAATCCAGCAAAACGCTCTCCGGAGCATCGGGGCAGAAAGGCATGCACAGGCCACTGCCTTTCATGTGAGGAAAAAGGAACGTGCCTGTCTGCAGACACTGGAGGGACGGCTGGGGAGAAGGGGCAGGAATTTATTACACTTCCCGGGGCAGAATGGGGCCCCGGGGCCTCGGTGAGGCCCATTTGCATCGTTCCAGCAGTCAAACAAGGGAACGCATCACTCATTCACAGCAATAAAGAACTAAACTCCACAGATCATTAACGATGTTGCTTGCACAAGGCCAGTCCCGAGGGGGCCACACTGGAACAACACAGAGACTGTGAAGAAACTCAGAGCCGTGTTCGTGAAGTCCCCCAGCATGGCACAGCCGAACGTGTAAGCCACAGACCTCGCAGGCGGGTGAGCGCGCCCCATCAGCGCCGGGGTCCCTACCTTTCTTGTTGAGCTGCAGGACGGAAGGGGGGGGCGTAGCCACTTTCATGGCCAGGCCGTAGGCTCCTCGGAAGGAGTGACTGTCCCTGACGATGAATGAGCCCGGCTCCTTGTCCTTCAGCATGGCGATGGCTGGGGAGGGAAGCAGAGACACACACACGTTTGCCGGGGTCCATGAGGCCTGCCCGCACACGTGGCAGACGAGTGCTTTTGCAAAACTGGGTCGGAGGGGGCAGGCGTAGGCCTCTGGGGTAGGGTGGGGGTCTCGGTGACAACACATCGTTTTCAAGGGGAGCCTGACGGCAGAGGCTGCAGAGAGCACCCCACGCCATCTGGCACACATGACTCCTGCTTGTCCCGCGGCACCTGAGAGGCACAGGCAACGGCCCACAGCTGCTGCCCAGGAATGTGGTCCAACCGCCAGCCCAAGTGCTTGGGCCAAGTCCCAGTCTGCATGGCGTGGTGGGGCAGAGGCGAGGTGCGAGGCTCTCTCCCGTCCTCGCTGCAGCCCTACCTGGTGCCCGTGCAGCACTGTACTTAGTCCTTCCAAACGAGCAGACGGAAAGATCGAAAGGATGGCCCCAAAAGTTACTGAATGTTTAACACAAATCCCACGATTTACCCCACGGGCTTGGTGCAGCCCTGGGTGGGCCCGCACTTGACCCCCACGACCAAGTCCGGGACGCCGGGGCTGGCGGGGAGGTGGCGCCCACGGACCCCAGCAGGCTCCTGCTCGTGGCCGGTGCCTGCATCTGGGGGCCAAGCATGCACTATTCGGCTGGCGCGGGAACAGACTTCTGATGAGTGACGCGTTTTCAACCGTGCTATACCTCACCAGGCTTTTTGGTTTTCCCATTTAACATCATGATCTTATTTCGCTGGAGGTGGGGGGTGGACAGAGGTGCCCCAGTGTCATGGGCCACAGATAGAGAGCAGCTGGAGGACAATGTCAGACCCTGTTCTGAAACAGAGGCCCGTGGGGGTCTCCCGTTCCCCTGTGAGGTCAGCGGAGTCAGTGGCCATGTCCCCACCGCCTCCTGCAGCTGGTGCTTCCAGAGCCCCATGGCAGAGGCCCAGCCAGTGCCGCTGACACAGCTCTACTCTGTCTCTACTCTGCCCGGTGGTCCCTTTCCCCTCCCGAGGCATTTTTACATTCGGTTTAGGAAAAATCCTGAGCAATCCACCCGGCCACAGGGATACAGGACCAGCTGCATCCCCGAAGACGCTATCCCACTTTCACTTGCCATTCCTCCTGCATGTCCCTGACGTTTCACTGTAGCTTTTCCAGAAAAAGGCACATCCCTGGCACTCGTCACCTGCCTCCGAGGTGGAGCCCCAGCTGCTCCAGCTGCCCAGCCGGCCTGCCCAGCCCGGACACGCACCAGTGGAGTAGGTGGTCTGCAAAGAATTTTCTGGAACATGGCATGTCACAGGCCCTTCACAGCCCTTCTGGCTGGACAAGGTGCTGGGCTCACAGCCTCCATCTCGGGGGTTCCCGTACCACAGGCAGGGAGGGGACAACAATGCAGCACTTGGCCATGGAGAGCCCAGACTGAGCTGAGCAGCAACGCCCCAAAGGCCAATTCAGGGAATCAGAGGGCTCTCTGGGCCGCGGGCCGCCCCCCCATGAAACATGACAATAGGTTCCTTGAGCTCAGGGGAAGAAAGGCACATTCTTACCATTTTTATGAGCTACTTAATTGAATAGAAGAATTCCAGAGAGAAAGCAGAAGGGTGCTGTTTGCCAGCAACTTAACTCTTTCTCTCCAGGCAGGTGGGGAAAAAGCCTCAGGACGACACCAGATGACTTTTTCCCCCGAAACGCTGTCCCCGGCTAAGCCCCATGCCCGCCAGCAGTCCCCGGGGTTCCTCTGGGAGGATCTCGGGGATGACCAGCCCATCCCAGCAACCCGGCGAATCCTGCTGTGAGATGGCCCCTGGGGCTGCCTCGTAGAACCGCCTCCCGCCTGGACCCCTCTTCCATTCGTCCTGCGGGAAGCAGTGGCATTAATGGCTCAAACACATGGACGTCAGATGTTGGGGCAGGAGCGCACGAGTGTGAGGCCCGAGGTTACACCCGGCACACGCCCCCTTAGCGAGCGCATGTCTGTTTGCCACGGACAAACGTAGATGCACAGATGCCGGGGTGTTGGAGAGACCTCTGTCCTTCCTCCTGACCGTTGGCCCCGTGGCTCAGGTCCCAGGTAGGAACAGGGAACCTCTTCCTGGGACGGCCTGTCACACTTTCCGCGGGGGTGCCCTAACCCTTCATCCCAGGGCCGTGCCCCTCCGATGTCGCCACCCCGAGGTCCCGTCCCGCCCACGCACCTTGCTCTCTGGAGATATCGGCCTTGTACCAGAATTTGGATGTGTCTTGGACAAAGTTCACGGACACGTGCTTATCACCCGGGTTATCTGAGAGAGAGAAGGCAAGAACACTCTGGACGGTTTATTGCCGCCTGTCACCTCGCATGGAGCCCGGTGCTCCAAGTCCAGCCCAGGGCGGGGACGGCGTGTCTCGGGGAAGGAGTGCCGTCTGGCCCCGCGGGGACCGGCTGGGGTGCGGCAGGGAGCCCGTGCTTCCCCCCACACGCAGCGCAGACGCAGTGTGACACGCGGCCAGCGCAGTGTGGCCTAATCCTGCCGGAGCCTCATCGCACACATCTGAACTCTTGTATTAAACGCTGGAGGAACTTACTGAACTCGAGAACGAAAGGTTATTTTCAAAGAATGAGGATCCCGAGCGGCGGGAGAAACAGAAGCTGATGGGGCGTGTGCAGAGCAGAGGGGGACGGAGGGCAACGAGGAGAAGACCCTGGTGGGCGGCTCTGGGCTTGGCTCTCAAGGTGCCGCCCTGAACCCCAGCCCCCCACTGAGCGAATGCACACGGGGTGGGGCCAGGGCCTACCACGGCTGGCACGTGCCTACCTGGGGAGGGCGCTGCGGCCTCCAGAGGCTTGGGGAAGTCCGGGAGGACATTTGGGAATGGGATGCTCATGGTGCTTCCACTGTGCGGGCTGGAGAAGCCACTGGAGGACGGGGAGGCCGAACCCAGAGACCGGTCCCCCTCTGAGGCGCGCTTCTTCTCGGGAAGGGGGGGCTGCCCGGGCAGGGTCAGGCCCTGGCCCGGCAGGACTGGGCTGTGGTGGCTGCTGTGGCCAGGCGTCACCGTGAGAAAGCCGTGGGAAAGGAAGCCGTTGTCGGCCGCTGCTGTCCGCGGGGTGCCAGGGGCCTGGGGGGCTCCGTGGGAATGAGCCAGCATGGCCCCTGGGTCCTCTGCCGGGGGAAGGCCGCTTCCCACGGGGGCCGTGCTAAAGCTCAGGAAGGCCTGGCCACCTGGGGGGACCACAGCTTCGGGGGGCTCCGCCAGGGACAGCTCATGGTTGTGCAAAGAGGCCTGGAGCTCCGCAGGCAGGCGGTGGGGCCGTCCGGGGCCGTCGGGACCAGGGCTGGGGAACTCTTCGGCGCCGAGGAGGCTTCCTACCGGCCGGCTGCTCCCCAGCGGAGCCGGGGTGGCCTTGGGGCTGCTCTCCACCCACGGGAGCTCGGCCGACGAAGGGCTGTGGGAAACAGGCAGCAATCAGAACGCCGCCCTAGGAGACGCCCCACGGCCACCGAGGGTCCCGTGGACGGTGAGGACAGGGATGGGCACTAGTGCTGAGGCTTGGCCCAAGACATCAGAAGTCAGACACTGCCGTTCTCCCCTCCCCTTCACCGTGCACCCCAGATGCTCTGCCACCCCACACCAGTGGACACCTGCCCTGGCCCCTCCTTCCTTGGTCTTCACCCAGCAAAGGTCCCTCCCCTCGAAACAAAAGTCAACCATGGCCCCGTGTCCAGCTCGCAGCCCACGTCCCTCTTTTCTTCCCCCTGATGCCAACCACGTGGTGCGTCATGTGCAGCTCCTGCAAGAACATCGTCCCCTGGGCACAGACTGTGTCCCCCGCTTTCCTCTCTCTGCTCCCCCGAGACCTAGCACGGGTGCCCGACTCAGTTTCCAGTAAGTGCCTGCTGGACAGCCAGCTGCTTAAGGAATCCCAGTGAGAGCGTGAGAAGCTGGGGCTCCCAGGGGACTCTGTGCGTTAAGCAGCCGAGTCTCAGTCTCAGCTCAGGTCTTGATCCCAAGGTTGTGAGTTCAAGCCTCATATTCGGCTCTCAAAAAATAGAAACACGTTAAAAAAAAAAAAAGGAACATGAGAAGTTACCATATCCAGAATGGGGACTTCCCAGATCAAGGGTATCAGAAGGTACCACATGGTTAGAAATCCAGAAAGTCAACTGCCAAGCCCCACAAACACACACACTTGACCAGCAAACCCTTTGCGCTCTGAGTGGGATGACCTTAGCGGAACCCCCCCTTGCACAGAGGCAGGAGGCAGAATGTGGACACCGAACGGGGCATTGTGTCCTTGCACAGGGAGCCGCTCAGGAGCCATTCCTACGCCGTGCCCGTGCAGCGGCTCAGCGGCCATCCCTTGCCAAGCGCCAAGCGTCTCTGTCTGCAGAGAGACACTCCCCTCCCACTGAGGGGTGTCCCCGCACTTTCCTGAACACCGGGACAACTTCCATGCCCCCCAGGCCACCACTACCCCACCCACCAGCCCCGGCTGTGGAGGGACACCAAGCCCTGGCTGGCCCCCTGCGCCCTTGCTCCCGCCGCAGCTCAGAGCGCGTGTCACAGACGCCCAGTCCTTAACTGGCCCGTGTTCCCATACTCCAGCTGCCCGTGTGGTCGGTCCCTGAGCGCTCAGCCTGTCAACTCCGGGGTGGTGGGGTTGGGGGGGCACTCTCCGGAGTTTGTATCTGTGATTGTATTTCTGAAGCGAGACCGTTATGCAGAGTGGCCGGGTGTCAGCTGCAAGTTGAGCGCCCCGTCCTCCCTTCCCAGGGCCCGCGGTCAGGTCTGTGGGAGCCCTCAAGGGCCCGTCTCCCTACCTGTCCCGCCGCTGGCTGGGGCTGCCGCTGGAGACAGTGCAGGAGGACGCGAACGCCCGCTGAAAGGCAGGTCCCGCTGGCACGTCTGCCCGGAGTGCCGCAGGTCTGGGCCCCCCGGGGCTCTCGGACATCCCCGCTGCACGATGCAGGATCTCAGCGCAGCCTCGAGTATCTGCAGCGGGGAGAGCAGGACAAGACGCGCTTACAGGCCTAGTCCCTGTGCTGGAAGGAGCGGGGTCGCTTCCGGACATGCAGGCCACAGGTCCAATGCGAATCGAGGAATCGAGGGGCCCGATTCCACCACGTGTGGGTCGCTCTTGCCTGGCGCGCTCCCCAAAGGGAAGGCAGGACGCGGAACGCACGCCCGGTGCCCGGCTCGGCACGCTGGCTGAGCTGAGGAGCCTCGTGCAAGGTCGTCTGCAAGGACAAGGGGCTGCAGCCCACGCAGCCTCGCCCCTGAAGGCCATTGTACTGGCCGACGGAGTCCGCCCAGCCCGCAGGCGCTCACTTCAGAAAGGGCCAGGCCTTCCCCCTGCGCACCAGCAGGAGCCGCTCCGCAGAGAAGACCCGTGTCCAGGGCGCGCAGGCCTGGGGTTGCGGCCAAGTGAGCGTTGAAGCTCCGTCTGTCCCCAGCTGGGAGCTCGGTCCACACGCCGGGCCGAGAGCTTTCTGCTACAAATACGGCCCTGCCGGCTGGTGTCCTCACCCTGGCATGGGGCACAGACCCTGGCCCGGCCCCTGTCGCTCGGGGTGTGAGAGGCCAAGCACCGTGAAAACCTGCTGTTTAACTCCAAGCCCGCACGCGCCACCAAATTTTACACGCTTCCGTGACAAAATGCCCACCTGCTTGAGGCCCAGCATCACCGTCATTTCTGGATATTTTTCAAAATCTTACTTTTTTTTTTTTAAGATTTTATTAATTTGAGAGACACAGCGAGAGGGAGCACAAGCAGGGGGTGTTGGCGTGGGAGAAGCAGGCTCCCCGCCGAGCAGAGAGCCCGATGCGGGACGCAATCCCAGGACCCTGAGATCATGACCTGAGCTGAAAGCAGAGGCTTAACCCACTGAGCCACCCAGGCGGCCCCCCCCTCATTTTTTTAAAAACTCAGCTTTAAGAACAGCACAAATCTACCAGGGTCGATGACAACATCGTAAGGAATACGGGCTACTCTGGTTTCCACTTTACAACAAGGGCGGGCGGATAAAAGCTGATGGAGTTCCTGATAACCCTGCATCGCTCCCATCACTCATTTCCGGGAACGGGCGCCACTAGTGCGAGTCACACGTCCGGGCACGGCCCCATTTGGGAGCACATGGATCGGAGGCCGCACCCAGCCCACGGGCAGGGCTGTGGGAATCCCACTAAACCCGAGGCTGAGGCTGAGCTACGCGGCAGCCGGGACTCGGGGGACGTGAAGAGCGACCTGAGTGCGGCCGCCCCTGCTGGCGTTTCGGGCTCCTGGGCTCAGAACGCGGGGCCAGACTCCTGCACCCAAGACGGAAGTGGCTGCTGAGGACTGAAGAACAAGCAGGGATTTCAGCACCTCCGTGGTGGGGCCCAAATACGACCAGGGGGCTCAACGCACGGACCTCGGATTTAAGGGGAGGGCCCTGAAGGCTACACTATGGGGACACCAGCACCAGAAACAGACGAGCCCCCCGGATCTCAGTAGTGTGTCCCCGAGAAAACCTCCCTCTTCGGAAGTAGACATCCCCCTCCAGAGCCTGCCTCTGTCTATTATGGATCGACTGATTGATCCACCCATCCATCATCCACCCATCCACCCATCCCTCTGCCCATCATCCATCCCTCCATCCACCGATATACCTGTCTACCATCTGTCGACCTACCTAACCACCTATCACCCCATCTCTTTATCATCCATCCATCCATCCACTTACCTACCTACCTGTCCACCCACCCACGCACCCGTCTATCATCCATCCAACCATCACCCACCCATCTAACCGTCTACCATCCATCCATCCATCCACCTATTTTCCTATTTGTCTATCTGTAATTTCCAGATGTAATTCAAGTATTTACTTTCAAAAACAGACTACGCATGCTAGTAACGGGTACCAGAACAAAGAAATGAGAACAAAAACGAAAAAAGAGAACAAGAAAGGGAGAACAGTCACGGCTGCATGCGCATTAGAGGTAAGAGACGTGCACTTGAAAATCAGTGGAAACTGTTTCAGAAAATTACAGAACCTCACAGAAGGACTGGGGAGCATTAGGAATAACAGTAGAAATCCTAGTATGACGTACAAACACAATTAATGAGATGAAGCAGGAGGCCGATGGACCCATCGGCAGATGCATGAGCTGGGACAAGTCAGAGGCCGGAAGCAGTGGCGGGAAAGGCACAGAAGACGGGGACGGCGCCGTGTGGGACACGGTGAGTGACATCTAACACACGCACAATGGGGGCCCAGGAGGGGCGCAGGGACGAGCAAGGCGCAAGCAAGCCCGGGGAAGTATGTACTGAGAATTCTCCCAAAAACACGCTGAAGAAATCGAGCCACAGGTTCAGGAAAAAAAATCCACCATATCGAAGCAGGAAGCGTCAAGAGGACTCCGTGCGCCCTCACTCGACGGCAGAAGCGGTGAAAATCCAAGACCAGCCTGAGCGGCGTCTTACCAGTCCGGGAGGGGGCAGGAGCCGACGTCAGTGCTGGTGCTTAAGTGCTCGGTTAGCCTGTGTGCACAGGAGCCCGATGCCCACGTCGTGTCCGGACAAACCGCTCGAGAGTCCTGGGGGCGGGTACTGTGCCTGCGTCCACGCTGATGCCCGTGGTCACCAGGGCTGCGTCTCGTCCGCATGCTCACCTCCGACGCCTCCACAGCCCTGGGGCAGCATGGTCTCAGTCCCAGTCGGGAGGCACCCGATACATCAGTGTGACCTTCCAGAAGGTCGTACTTTTAGGTCAGAAACCCTTCTAAAATACACATTTGCTGGGTGCCTGGGTGGCCCGGTCGGTGCAGTGGCTGGCTCTTGGTTTCGGGTCAGGTCAGAATCTCAGGGTCGTGGGATTGAGTCCCGTGTTGGGCCTCCCTCCCACGCAATTGTCTTCTTCGTAGAAAAAACTATGTTCTCGATAGCGCGTCCGTGTGTCCACCTCCCACATAAGACAGAGCTGCTGGGCCCCCACCACCGGTCAAAATGGTGCTGGCTGCCGGCCTCCGGTGAGCGCGTTGCCAGAAGGTCAGCCTGCGGGATTCAGAGGCACCTGCCGGAAAGCTTCCTGGAGGGCTTCCTGGAGGAAGCACGTTCCATGGGAGCCTGAAAGCATGTGGGTTTCCAGTAAACCAAGCGGACGCCAAGGGAGTGGGGGCACCACCCAGGGCTCTGCTCCCAGCTGGGCCCCCACCGCTAGGCTGGTGCCAGTGGAGCGATTTGCACCTGCTATGAATGAACGAATGAGTCCACGGTGGCTCAGAAGTGACAGGAAGAAGTCCAGGGTGGGGTGTGGGCCTGACCCCGAGGAGTCAGGCTGGATGTCCCAATCACCCCCAGACCAAGGAGCAGCACTGGACCCTGGGGTCAGGACTATTTCTCAGTCCAGCCCACGGCGGGTGACTGACGGCGCTCTCAGGGGTCCTGCTGCAGCCGCAGGGGCTGCCCGCTCCCATGTCCCCCACGATCCTGGGAAGCCCATCATGCCATGCCCGCATGGCGCCTGAGATCACCACCAGCAGAGAAGAGGCAGGCGGGAAATAAGGTCGAGCTTTGTCCCTGTTACCCTGTCCCTGTTCCAGAAAACAGCAAACTCAGCGCTCCCCGTGAAAGTGGCTTTGTTCGCAGCTCTGCGCCAACACGGGGGCTGTGGCTGGGTTTGGTTCCCGGCCCTGGGTGAGAGGACTTAATTAGCCCTTCCATCTGGACAAGGGCCAGCCAAGGACCTCATTGCTGGACACTGGCTTCCCGGCCACTTCTCCCGCAGGGCCGGGCCTCTCTGTGCTCAGACAGGCATGCGAGCGGGGCACGGCGGCCACTACGGGGTGGAGCCCCCACCGTCCAACCAGCAGGAGTGGAGCCTCAGCAGAAGGGGCACGGCCTCCGTCCTCAGACACGCAGGGTGCTGGGAATACGAGTCCACGAGCAGAAAAACACGCCAGGTCCAGGAGTCTGGCTGCAGACCACGAGCACGCATGGCATTCCTTCCAGGCGGTGCATGCCGGGAGGTCAGGCGGGCCGCATGCGGTCAAGCCTCTCCACCCTGCACATCCGTTCACAGCTACGGGGACTTCTCCAAATGGGCTGTCTCTGGGCTCAGCCCCCTGTTCCACGCACTCAGCACCCACAGGCTCAGTCTGGGCCCACAAGGAGGCCCGGGGGTGCGGTGAGGGCCATCAAGAGCGGGGGAGGGGTCCTGTCTTCAAGGGAGCCTTGCAGGTGACAGGGTGGCGGCTTCACTCTGCGGTGGCACGTGTGGCTGCCTCATGGGGAGCACGGCCAGGTCGGCCCTCCTGCATCCCGGCGAGCAGCTGGCCTCAACCACTGTGTGGCGGTCAGACTTCTCCCTGGGGCCACGGCACGACCCCCGGCAGGACACGTCCACACGTGGGGGTGCTGGGAGCCGTGAGGGGGCGGCTGTGGGCCCTGCTCCCTCCAGGTCCCTGGCGTCCCCCAGGCTAAGCTAAGGGCTGGACTGAGAAATAGTCCTGACCCTGAGAGTCTCACATTTCCCCTTTCCGGCTGACACCCAGAGGAGGGGGCACAATACGGTCAGTGTTTGGAAAGCGGGCCCCGGCTTCCTGGTTCCCTAGGCCAGCTGGTGTCCTGGCGCCTGCAGGGACCGAGGACCGAGGGGCTGGGGAGGGAGGAGGGAGGAAGAGCGCCTCTCGCTCTGGGGCTCCCAGACCTCCCAGGACCTTCTGGACCCAGGCTCCCCTTGGCTTCCCCTTCCTGCACTTCCTTTACCCGGAGCTCGGGTGACGGAGGGTCACAGGCTCTTTTCCAAAAGGTCTATTTTTAGGCCACACTGGAGCTGCTGCAGGGGAAGGTTCCGTGGGAAGCAGGGTAGCATCTGCTCTCCGCCAGCCACGATTTCCATCACACAGAAGTCAGCAGGAGGAAGGGGACCCCACAGGCTCGCCACCTGCACAGCGGGGAGCTGGCCAGATGCTAAGGTCCACGCGCATACACAGGGCCCACCGCATCGTGC